AGCAGGTGTCAGGGACAGTGTCACCCGTTTCTTGATCACTTGATCACCCACAATCCAATTCCAGAGTTGTCGGACCGGCCGTATCTTGAGCTGAGGAGTGGTGGGAGCTGTTCTGAGGAAGCCACCATTGTTTGGATATTCTCATTCTTCTTCAACGCCGTCTCCATGAGTTGTCTCCTCAGCATCAAGTGCAGCGGAAACAAGAAGTTCTATGAAACTTCGAGCAGGTGATTTGAGGTGACCACCAAGCACCTCAGCCCAACCCCCAAACAGTTCGCTTCTCCCACGATATTGGAAGGTTTGGATGAGGAGGACTTTGCATGTCCGCTAGAGGTCGTGGATTTGCAGAATTCAAGATGGGAAGCAACAAATAGGAGGGTGAAAATCAGGTACCTCTCCGTTCAGTTCGATGGTTTGCACCGCTTCTGTGTGTGTCTAGAATACTGGGAGGAGCCGAAACCAACTGAAGAATGAGGGTGAGTCCGTCACAGTCAGTCTATCGCCAAAAACCAGGTTTTGACGGAATGAACCGCAAAACCATTTGGACCTCCAAACCGCACCTTTCCCGTAGCGGGGCGGGAACAGTCCATACGGATCAAAAGCTGTGCATTCCGAAAGCCGAAAACTCGAGTTTGTTGTGTTGAGGGATCCCTCCAAGCGTCACTTAGTGACGGTGTTCACAACTCCTAGCAGTCCTAGCGAGATGCTTGTCTTGGGGCCTCTAGGGTTTACTGAGACACACCCACATCAAAGATTGGCAAGATATGTGTTTCTTCCGGAAGAACAAGATTGTCCCTTCTTGTTCTTCCCACTTTTCTTCCATTCTTGACTGTCCCTCACCTCACAGACTCGCCGGCTCGGCCGAGAAGTAGTCACCACCAAAGGGCTCCGTCGCCGTCTTGTCGGAGGGCGGCTTCACCACCAGCTGGCGCTTCCCACCAGCACCCACGGCCTTTCGGTTGGCAAATTGGATCTTTTCGTTGAGGCCCAACTGCTGGAACTTCTCCTCGTTCCAGGCTGAAGTAGAGCGACGACGGCGGGATGCTGATGCCACAGCACGTGTTGGGGAAATGGCTCTGTGTTCGTCCGGGGAGGTGGTGTTTGGAACCTTTATGACCCACGCATGGGATCGTGGGATGTGTAATGATGTGTGTATATATATATATGTGTGTTCCTTCCTATGCATCAATCATCTCTTCATCTTCCAATCCGTCTTACCTTTTCTCAAACGTCACAAACCATACACTTCTCCACTCCCCCACAAACTGGAAGAACAGGTCCGCAACTTCTCTCCACCTCCCCCCTCCCCCCAAAAAATAGCACCTGAACTTCTCAGGAAAAGCTCCTGCGTGATCTTCAAGGTCTTGATCTCGCTGACTGCCTTGATAGTGGCCGAGCGTGGCTCGTTGCGCAGCAGGGCGTTCTCACCGAAGTAGTCGCCCTGCTTCAAGGTCGCCACCTGGGCACGGCTCAGCACGGCGGAAACCAAGGCGCGTGGCAGATTGGAAGATGAACGGCGGGTATTTGGGAGGGAAAAAAGGGCGCATAAGCTGAGAAGTGGTTCAGTCTTGCGTGTTACTTGAGAATGAAATTGCTGATTCACTGAGCAATGTTCAAGGTTAAATGAGTCAATACACATCTCGCATGCTTCAAAAGGCATTTTCAGCATCCAAAGCCAGTTGAACAGTCCAACGTCCGCAAAGTCCAACGAGTCCAACTCCAATCCAGTCTGAAAAGACATGCAAAAATGGCCAAAGGCGAGGTTTCTGTGGATGTTGAAAGAGATCACCCAAAGATGAAGCAGAGTTGGTGAGCCTTTTCTCTCATCAGCCTCCAAAGCCAAATAACAAACTGTTCGATGCCAGCCCTGGGCCCTGCTTCCACGAACGACCCTGGCCCACACAACTTCCTCGAAGGAATCAGGAATCCAGCAATCAACCTACCACTGATCCGTCAGTACAGTGAACTCACCTCATCCACCATAGACTTTCTACCCCTCCACACCTCCGGCACGATTCGCCACCGTGTGCGCCTTCTTCTGACTACCACCGTCGTTGACCGAGACTTCCGCTTCACCCGATTGGATGATGAAGAATTCCCGGCCTTGGCATCATTGTGCGTGTAAGGAACAGGTGAAGGCTCTGTGCGGAAAACACGCGAGCACGGGTGGTCGGAGGAGCCTGTACCAAGGCTGTTCTTGCCAGAAATCTGATGGTGTCATGGTGTCTGATGGTATCTGATGGTGTCTAATCATCTCATGGTACACCGGGGAGAAAGTTGTTGGCGCAACTCAAAAAAATAAATAGCGGGAACAGCCGCGCCATGTAACTCCTTTTTCTCGCTATTTGGCCGTCATAGATGGCGCAACTGGTCTTTGGATTGCAGAAAATTAAAATTCTGCGGGGTGTCTGTGCGGATACTAGTTTTCCCTATTTCCCAAAAAACGTTTGGGGCCTATAGATGGCCCAATGGCCAAGTTCTGTACAATAGTGATTTCCTCATATTTCTTCTTGATTTCCTCTTGCCTCTTGAACTTATTCATTTCCTTTTGATGTCCTTTTGCGGTGGGGCAATAGATGCTCTGATGGTATCTGATGGTATCTGATGGTATCTGATGTATCCTTTTTACATGTAAAGAAATGCTCTGATGGTATCTGATGGTGGTTGACGTGCCACAGATTTACTCTCCCAAGGTCTGGCCCGCAAGGTCTTCGTGAAATGGTTGGCTGCTTGAACCATATATAATCCACAATATAAACAAGCAACTTTTTTCTACAGTATGGCTCAAGGTGGTCAACACCGGCAATAGTCCACTTTAAGATCTTTACTAAATCCACTAAACAAATTACACTAGCATAGACTCCCCAAAGAGTTTCCTAAGCAAGAATTCTTGTTATCGCGGACCGGCAAATACTGTAGGATTCATGTGACCGGGCTGTTTTAAGAGACACGGATGAAGCATCGACAGGTGATACGCAACTACACAAGGAGACAACACCCCGACCAACATAGGAGGACAACGAGGAGGGGCGGCTTCCAGTGGGGACAGGGGCGGCTTCAGGGGCGGCTTCACCCGGGGACAACACCTCTAGCTGAATACTTCTCAGAGCTACAGGATCGATAGTTTCACTATTCGTATAACCGTATACTGAACATAAGAATCACACTCCCCTTTGGGTCTACATAGAGTTCTGTTCTGACACCCGTAGCCACCTTCCTTTTTACTTAAGAGAGAACCCCGAACTGTTTTAAGACAAATCATGCGAAACCAAATCAGCTTTAACTTTCTCCTCAATCCCATCCACTTCTGACCCTCAAACACGACCAGGCTGGCAGACAAACCTAGGACCTAGGCCAACCAGCTGCGTCTACTTCATCCAAGCGGCCAGTCTCACCCTGGGTGATGATGGTCTGTCCTGCCTTGAAGGGCTGATTCACACAGGCAGCCGCTAGGATGGGGTGTTGATCCTTTGGTAGCCTGGCAGGGAGGTCGTGCAGAGGTCCACCGGTGGAAAGAGGTCGTTTCTGGGGAGGTCCGGCCAGAATACCGTCGTCAATGAGTAACCGATTCAGGTCGTTCTTCTCTTGCTATGTATCAAGTGTTGGTCCTGAGCCATGGACCTTGGCTGATGAAGACAGTTCCAAATGATTGGTCTTTGGAGTGGCACAGGAGCTTAGCATATATGTATGTATAAATATACAAAGGTTAGCGGCCCTGGCCACAACAAACAGGACTTGGACCCAAGCCCACCCGTACAGATCCAAAAATAGGATGAGACCCGCGTGAGTGGAACCTTCTCGGTCGATCGAGAGGTTCTCGTGTGCTGCCTCATGAAGAGCGGAACCTGGGAGAGGAAGGACATGGTCTCCTCATACTTCTTGTTTTCCTCTTTTGCCTGCTGCTTATCCACCGCAGTCACTCCACCTGCACAAGAAGGCCAAGACAACTTCAAATGATAGCATGGGGCACCATGCATGTTGATTGGCAATTTATCCTCCACCACTCACTCCCCCCTGATGTGTCTTAATTATGATACTCCATTTATCACAGATAAATATATATATACTTATACAACCAAAACCTTTTGCTCTGACCCACATGAAAAACGGCTGCGGGCTTATCACGCACCATACTAGATTTCTGATTGCCCAAAGTAGTTTTCTGATTAATCATCAGAAATTGAATGTGCACGTACGCTCACACCATGCACAACTTGCACTTGTCCGGCGACACACTACCCCCCATTGCCCCTGACAAAGCAGGGTGAGTGGCTGTCCAGTGAGATCTGCACAAAATGAAACGAATTCATTCACAATCACAAATTGGGCTTTGAGAACTCCATACGGACCATACAGCTTAAGCCACTGATCGATCGATCTAGTCAGTGCTTGAGATGACTTCGATCTAGTCCCGCATCGCCTGACTTCCCATCACTGGTCGCCGCTTTGGCGCCACTCTGCGCACAGCCCATGGCGGGCTTCCGCGCCGAGAGCGCCGACAGCGGCGCGGAAGTGACGAGTATGATGAAAGCGGCCACGCTAAACGGGACCCTTCAGAGCCACGCGAAGCACCATGGAAACATCGGCTCTCGCTGGTGAAATGTGGGGCAGAGTCTAAAGTACTCAACTGCGCCTGGTTCCAAATTGAAAGGGGTACGAAACTAGAATAACAACGGACGGAAAAGAGAACATAGGACCATGGAAACATGTGGAAATCCTGTCTCTTGGTTCTGCGAACCTCCTGAGGTTTGTGTACAACCAAAACCAGTCCCAGCACAAAATGGAGCAAGGATCTAACTGACTGGTGGAAGTTCCTTGCCCAAAGATCTTGGAGCACCATTTGGTTTGCTACTAGTACGAACTCCATTTAACCAGCTTCTTCAAGCACTATGACAGACTGGTGCAACCAGAAAAGAACACTCAGTCACCGAACCCCCGAATGCGGGCGCCCGAGCCCGTTCGGACACTCCCCGAGCCATCGGGACGGTCAGTCACCGCACCTCCGCCGATCCTCTGGCCGTTGCAAGACACCTCAGGCGGTGGGTGAGACAGAGGTGGTGGCGGTGGCCCAACACGGCAGCTGCAGGCGGTGTGACCTACCGCAACACGTGGCAGACCTCGAGGGTACTCATCGACATCGACATCAGGGTACTCTTCGTTGGATTCTCCGGATCTCCCATCCCACCGAAAGCTCCGAAACCTCTCCGAAAGTTCGGCCCAACCCAGTCGTCTCGGCCAAAAGGCTCTTGATCGCGGTGCCATCCTCAAAGAGGTCGCAGCGCAGCTGCCACTCAACCAAGGTCAGCTGCACTGGTTCCATCTCTGGGCCCTGGCGAGTTTGTGGCACGTGAACGTGGCCCGTTTGTGGCCCGGTCGGAAGGTGATGGTCGCCAGAACTGTTCGTCGCTTTTTGTGAGCTGAAGGAGCCGGTTCAACCGGGCTGGACGAGCTAAATGGATGTACGATGATGCATGTTCCGCAAAGAGATCCTCCGCACTGAAATCTGACCTGTCTCGTGCTTCAACATGCTTCGACTGATAACAATCCGATGAAATCCATGGCTTCTCAAGGCAAAGACCCACGGAGACCCACCGGCACCGAACTCGTTCCTCGGTGCCCCAAAAGGACACGCCCCAAACTCCGCGCCTGGAACTCTGCGCACTCGTAGAGCCGCAAGGTCCTCACGGCTGCATGGAGCCACTGAGGCCAGGCACCGTCCCCCAGGTCGAAGCGCAAGAGTCCTGCACCGACGGGTCCGACGAGACCCGGAGCAACGACCACCTCCACGACGACCACCACGACCCGCGGGGCGTTCTTCGGCCCAGCGGGGCTTTCTTAAGTCACACCGACCAAGGCCATGCTCCGGCTTACAGGGCCGACGGCGAAGATCCGCCGGTGCCATCGAAGAAGGGGTTGGACTGGCGAAGATCCCTCTTGCTGGGGGCGGGCGCTGACTACCTTCGTTGCGTTTGGCAAGCGGCCACGCACTTGGGTGAGAAGAATCAGGACAGGAACCACAAGACTTGGAAGCTTGTCCCTTGTGGAACGATAGCACGAGCTTGCCTTCGTTGCATCTGTGTGGTCACACCTCACAATCCCAAAGCTAACATGGAGGCCCAACAAAAACCGTCATGGTCAATGTGAAGTTTGGATAACAATCAAATCATTCATCTCACTAGAACTGATTGGGCGAAGGTCCCCTAGGCATGATCTCTTGAGCAATCCTGCCACCATCTTCCACCTATCAAGTCCTATCAAAACACCACACAATTCTGGTGTTGGTCAAGACTGAGTCCTTGTTTCACAACGTGATGAGTGAGTCTAAAAGGTGAGATACTCAAAGAATTTGGACTGCACCAGCACCGGCCCCAGCTTTGTCAAACAGTGGGATTGTCAACTCATAAGCTGTGTCCGAATGCCATTCGGATTGCCAGACCTCCCGGTTTGCACATCTGCACAAGCTCCTTCTTACAGCCCGTAGTTCCTTGTTTTCATGTTGTTGCAGAATCAAGCGCAATTGTGGCACATCACAAAATGCTCCTTGATGTTGTTCCTTCCCTTTTTCCATCCATCCGCTCGGTTCCCTCGACTTTCCGAGTGTTCCCCCAAAAAGAAGAAGCTCTGCTCCATCGCCTTGGGGGTCCAAGTATGACGTCCACTCAGCAGGACAGGGCCTCGAAGGGGCTTGCATGCGGAAAACTGAGAGGTACTGCTCTCATGGAGGTGTGGGTCAAAGGCACAGGCATGGAGTCAGAAGAATACCAAGGAAACGTTGGGAGTTTGAGTTCCCTGCGACATTCTAATTTGAAGAATATCAGAAAAAGAATACGTGGGTTGGCCGCCCAATAACCAGAACTGCTGTCAGAACTAAGTACGACAGGACCTCATGCAAATCTGAAGAGATCTGAAGACATCCATCGGACATCGAAAAGAATCCGATTCCGGCTTCGAAAGGGGCGACTCGCCGTCCATGTCAAGTCGGAGGAAACGCCCCGTCCACCGGCGCCATGTCCAGCTGTGTGGCGCCTGCATCGCAACACCACACCGTGTCCGTCTTGCGGCCGCTTGAGGGTACCTCGTGGGGCAGGGCGTCCGGAGAAAAGACGTCCAAATAGAGGGCTCCTCGTGGCTCCCTTCAACTACGGGATTGTAGTTCACCTCAATCCAAAAAAGATCGCCTTATATTCTGAGGAGCGAAGGCAAGAGGAAAGGGAGCAAGGTGTTTGTTGCACGATCCTTGCCATTGAGGTCAAGGGAGATTGTGTCCCATGTCTACAAATGCTTAAGTGAAAGAATTGCTACAGCCAACAATTTCCAGATATGTGAGATGTTTGAGAAAGCACTGATAAAAAAGGGACGGTGCAATGCAACAGAGTTCAGTAGGGTGAGATGCTGCTGACTGCTGACTGCTGATCACAATGCAGGCTGTTTAACGAAGCAAAGGTGCTTTGATCACAGCACAGTTGAGGAACTGCACGTCAAAGCAGCATGCTGCACAGCCAGCTGGATCCAGTGCAGGCTTCTCTTGCGAGCTATATGAGTATCAGTATTTCTGTATTTGTTGGCTTCCCGAAACCCTAATCTACTGTAGTTCTTAAGGTAGCACAGAAACCTCCCATGGGCATGGTTAGTTTGCCAATCTCCACCATACTATTCAAATCAAAATTGACCCTGCACTAAGGATATACAGAGAGTTTCATGAGATGGGGATGTACCTCAAATCCCCCGTAATCCTACAGGCCATAGAGGGGGCCTACATCCACGTTCTAGGATCCAAAGGCGGAGTGAACCGGGAAAAAGATTGTTGTGGTGCGGTGCTTTCTCTGAGCGGAAGGCCTGTTGACCCAGGCATCTATATAGCCATTCTATGCAATTCTCATTTAGGGTACTCTGTATTGACTGCGTACTTGATTACACATCGCTTCTATGCTGACATGAGTGACTTGTACATGCCAGTGGCATGGTTCTTTGATAGAACACACCTGTGAACTGTATATGTAATACGTTCTGATCTTTGATGGAGCACTGACTCAATGTGAGAATAGGAACAACATTTACGCATATGTATATATATATATATATGTTGATATGTATATATTATATAATACGTTCAAATTCTGCAGCTACATATGCCCATCTGGTGTGGCGTGGCAGGAACATCTTCCAAACCTATGGTCCATGGTTGCTCGGTTGGGTGTTGAAGCTGTTCAACACTCACAAAGAAATCCCAGGATCTTTACCAAGTTCAAGCCTCTCGAGTATTCATTGAACATCCTTAAACGCTTGACTCAACACCACCGGTAGATGATCAAGAGGGACCAAAGTGTTGTCACGACCGCGCTTTCCAGGCCTGCACCAACGGAGGCCTTGAGGCAGCGCTTTCCCAGGCCCTGCACCCAAGGGTGTTTGAACGACCGGCTGCGCCTGCAGGGGAGTCTTTACCATTCAGCATAGGCATAGATCCCAGATACGAGTAGCAAGAACAGGATTTCTGTGGCCCAAAAGACCTGCCGGCACCGGGCAAATCGCGGCCAAAGACATGTCGCAGCACCCGGCAGCGGCACCCGGCAGCGGCACCAGCCCCAAGCTCCCAAGGGCACACAGCGGACAGCGGCCTGCAGTGGCACAAGCACCCAAGCTCGAAAACGCACACGCGCAGCTCTTCCTATACTTGAAGTAAGAACCCCAATAGCTCACGCGATCTGGGGTAATTAAATGAACAGTGAAAGCCTTAATCTGACAGCCTGCAGCGTTGATCCTCAGCAGACCAAGAGAGTTTGTTTGTGCTTCGGACTTCCATCGTAAGCGGACTTCCTGCATTTGACATGGTGTCATGGCAACAAAAAGGGGTGGGTACTTGAATACTTGTTCACGGGGACATACTCCAACCGGAAGTACATTGCCGAGTGAGGCCCTCCCGAGCTTTAACACCTTGCGGCAGGGGAAGGCCCGATTCTGACACATGCCAAAACCACTTCTCTTCCCACTTACGCACCGATCTGTGTTGCCGTGCTGACCTTTGGGAGCTCTGGCTCCGGCAAGTCGTGAAAGTCGGAACCACTGTCCTCAGTGTTTTGAAGCCGCCGTAGAGAGCAACATGGGTCTCGGTCTGACCAAGCAAAGGCCTGCCACCTCCCTCGATGTTGCGGACTCTGGTTAGTGGATGTTAGTGGATGGCTGCTGTTCCTTTTGATCTATGAAAAAAAGAACGCATGATCATGTGAGAAAGGGGCCCGGCGTCGCAACCCTGTCATAAGAAATAGTCAAACAGATCGACATGTCGATTGGAACACCCCCAAGACCCCAACAAACGAGAAAACGTTCAAAAAACCAGGTCTCGGGGTCCTCTCAGTTATCCAAACATTGGCGTTGTTTTTTTTGGATTTCTCTGCGAGCGACGGGTCGTTTTGGGTCGAAACGGTTCTCCCGCTGGGGCTCTGAATAGCCCTGGAGTCCTGGATCCAGGTCCTCCATGGCTGCCCATGTAGGCCGCCCGGTTTAGGGCGGTCGACCGCCGTATTTTTGGGGGTAAGCGATGTCGTGGATCTGAGCTGTGCAGCTGTGATTCTGGTTGGAAAGGTAATACGGTTGGGAAAGGTGGGTCTGATTCAGTTTGGTCAAGAGTTTAGCAGCTAGCAGGCCCTCCGATAGACCAATTCGCTGGTTTCTGATTTGGACCAGGTACTCCATGGGGTTCCTCACCATTGTCGTTGTTGGAGACTCCTCAAAACTCTCTCGTTCTTCCTCCTCAATGTCTTCTTCTCGGAAACCTTTCTGGTATACCTGGTATGCTCAATGTCAGGAATCATATCATGATAGGCAGATGCTGCTGCTTTGCTATTGCCAAGCAGCTGCGGCATCCCTGAATTCATCGCTTTATCAATAGCTGAGAAACCAAATCTCGCATCATCTTGCATCAACCCACGCGCCGGTCTGTTTGTAGAAACGAACCTGATGTTCATGACGAAGCAACAGTGGGCAATGTTGTAGGGAGCCACTGCCCAGACTTGGGATGAAGTCTTATGTAATTACCAACGGTGAACTCGGATCGACCCCAGGCCGACTGAATGGCAGAGTTCTTCAAGTCACTTCCCATCTGGGGCTTCATGAGTTGCCCGTTCATCACGACGGCCGTTCACAGGTGCCAGTTCCATCTATTCCTGAGCACTGCTCCTTTTTGGCCACGCGAGCACTGCCTGCCTCCGAACTGGCCCAAGCCTCAGTTCCAATCACGGCGTGTTCGGGGGGGTTGTTTGGAGAGCCGTTGATGTCAAGAACAATTACAAGCGTAGACCAAAGATGATCCGCAACGACTAACGTTCATCACGTCCGGCCCTCTAAGAGAACCGGGGAGGACGTTCATCTGTAGTCATGAAGATCTATCGGCACACCGACACTCCCATGTGTTACTCATCCATGTTGGCTGATAACTTTCCTCCTCTCTCACAAAAGGCGCACGAAAAGAGCAAACCAACCCACGCAAAGAGCAAAGACACACCGAGCCAAATCCGCCAAATCCGCCGAGCTCGGTCGAACCCTCGACCGGACGGTCAGCCTGGTCAGCCGCTCGGCTTTGAAGGCTTTGAGTTGGCAAAGGAACGGTCACCTGGGCGGTCACAGGGCCTCGAGCGTCGGTCGATCCGCCGAAAGAGTTTGGAACGACCAACGGCGTCGACGCGTCACCCGATCGATGTTTAGACCTGCTCCTCCCTCGATTTTGGACATCAAGTCCAGTGCATTTTTCCTGCTTGGTGTGTCTCAGGCTTTTTGCAGCCAGCCGTCAAGTACACCGCAGGTGTTTAAACTTCCTGAAATACTCAACAAATACCCGAGCAAAACGTTTGGCTCTGAGCTTTCTCCCAAGAGACCCTGAAGGCAGATCACAAAACCCATCAAAACTACTGGGGGTCTACCAACTCAAGCCAGTTGAAACTCACTTCTTCGACCTTGGACCTGTGCAGACGTGGGGCTGATGTTGTCAGTGACTGTACTGACCACTCGGCCCTTCTTCCTCACCTGGAATGGCCATGGGCTTGGTGAAACGGGGTTGATGAAAGCACCTGGCTGGAAGACGAACTCCAGTGTTGCAAATGCCGTACGATCAATATGTCAATCCCTTTTCATCGGTCAGGCTCAGTGCCCCGATCTTTGACTTGAAGTAAACACAAGGATCCACAATTGATGGATCAGAATCATCTGAAAAATGACCCCATTCGATGGATTTCATCCGGGCCTGCAAAAATCTCTGTTCGTCTACAAGACTCCGTCAACGTTCCGTGTCACCCCCAACATAGTGGGTTGAGAGTAGATGGCACAAGTTACCCCAAGTTCGGTGGTTTGACCCACATCTGAAAGACATCGTGGGGGCCAGCGTCATCTACTCTGAAACCAATCACCCACTTTTTGCAGTGCTAGCCTGACACAGTCGTAATGGGCCCCGAACAGTGCTGCACGACCTTTTCAGTCACATCACGGAGATGGGTGCCAGTTGGAGGGTTGAAGGTTGAATGAAAGAACCTCAGCACCATCCCGCAACGGAACCGTGCTTCGGGGTTGGCGTCGGACCGGCGTTGAGATCGGATTGAACACACTCCAAACATCTCCAAACAATGTCAACACAAGTCGAATGTCAAGCGTCAGAATTCAAAAGATCGAAAAGAGTTACAACATCACACGAACTCTGTTGACACTCCCCCCCCCTCACCTCTCCAATTCCCCTCACAAAAAAGCAGCTGATCGATCCACCTGCTACGAAGCTACCATTTCATGCTAATGATTGTGTGGTTTTACTCTTGGTCCTTTTTGGGGTGCCACGGCATCTCCCTACGCGACCCACAACCCCGGCACGTCTCCTTATGAACCCCCCGGGCCTGGGGTGGGACGAAGGCCATTGCGGCGGGTGTGGTCGCTTTGGGGCCTGGCCCGTCCACCGAGCCACACAGTTATATCAACATCCGCAAAAACATCGGTTTCAGGTGTCAAGTAACAGTGGGTGTCCACGCATGCAGAAGTGAAACACGTAAAACGTTGTTGAAACATTTGTTCGACAGCTTTTCTATCCAGAGGCAGATCAGTCGAAATAGACACGAACGAACTTTGTTGATGGGCAACATTTGCATCTTCGTTGGAGCAGTCCCGGGTAAGGAGCTCAGGGCTTCCAGAAGCTCGCATTCTGGATGTCTGCTTGGTAGCATATATCACATGTTGCCCAAAACGATATCAGCTGAGAATCTGGTGACTCCCCAGTGCTCTACCCCCCAGTCATGCAGCTAGAATTATCTAAATATATATATATTATATCATTCCTATTGTACTCTCACGTTGCCAACATAGATATCTAGGCATCTATAGACACACGTGTATGTACATATCACCTATATCTTATAATATAGAGTCGTACAATGTCGTACATGGAAATCCTGTCCAAACTCCAACACTGGACATTCACCTTGACCAGGAAATCTTTTCCAAAGCTACTGTTGTGTCGCGCCCAGTCCCCATCTTCCGCCAAAGTGCTCCCCATCTGACCGCCTGCGTCCTTCGCAAACTTTGGCGTGAGCAGACCCAATGGGTTGGGCCTCAGCAGACCGCTGGAGTTGCTTTCGGTCGTCCGACGGATGCTTCGTCGCCGGCTAGGCATCTTGTGCACCAGTGACGCTTCCATGATTCGATCAGCCTGACGATTTGAGTGGAAACCAAGTGAAACATCCAGAATCTAGAAGCAGTTCCTCTGGCTGTCTGGCCTTCAGTGGCCGTGGCGACTTGGATAATATGTCTTCCAACACTTTAAAGGTTTCCAATTGCCATTAAGTTGACTGATTGACAATTTAAAAGTTAAAGCGATAATTGCGTGATTAATGGAGTATCACTGTATCACCAGCTACATGCGAAAAGTTAACGTGTTTAAGCCAATCTATATCAACCATGATCAACCTTCTCGTCCGTCTCTCCCAAATTCCACCTCAAGTAGAATATGAACAGTTCAACATGTAAAGATAAAGAAGAGCCATCATGCTCAACTTATCTGCGCTCCGTCTCGACTTGAGTTTATCTGCGCACGGCCTTCGCAAGCACGTTGTCGCGTTCGACGTCGAACCGACGAACAGATCCCCCGTCCGAACTGAGCTCTCCGTCCCGGCGAGCCGAGCACGCTTGCTTTCGGGCCTCGTTGGTCCACCCGGAAGTTCCAGCCGCTGGGTATACACAGATAGTAACAATGTTCGCTACTAGAAACAAGTGCATCGCTAGTAGTAACAGGTGCCTTACTAGTAGTAACAAGAAGCATGTTCCAGCTGGCAGGTTGGGTAGGTTGATAGGAGGTTGGTATGAGAATGGTCCGCTCGATCAAAGATGCTTCGTTTTGTCCCGGAAAGGGGCGGCCCGCCGAAACGTCGAGAGCCCGCTTCAGTGACTTCAGTGCAGAAGGACCCTTGTGGAATTTGTCTGATGGGTTTAAGGGTCTTCGAATCCAAATGAATTTAAGTTTAAATTAATAGCTTCTTGTTACTACTAGTAAGGCACCTGTTACTACTAGCGTGGCACCTGTTACTACTGATAGGCTTTCGCCAGGTGGTCCAATATCTGATGGACAGCCCCCACAGGTCTGATCTACATGGATCGCCAGTGTTTGACAGCCCCCATCGGTCCGGATTTTTCCGAGCGCGACATGAGTGGTTCTGGTAGGATTGAGATGGTTTGAGTGGTTTTCTGGTGGATCGTGATGAAACATTTGGGGATTGGTGCAGACCTGCAGTGATGCTACGACCTGCATCCGCCACATCTTCCCCACAGACCGCTCTTCTCAGTCCCCCTGCTCATCTTCCTGAAAATGCGGAGTGGACTCCTTTGACCGATCCCTGACACCCCCCGCTTGGAAGTGGCTGGAAGTTGCTCATCCAGCCAGCTCCTACAGGCAGCCAAGCCATCCAAACCCATCGAGTCTCTGGACTGAACTTCAAAGAAGTCCACCGACCCTTTCGGAACCTCAAAACCTGAACTGCTTGACGAAAAGAGAACACATGTTCTCTCCCCCCACTAAAACCCCGGTGGACGGCACATGGTGGACACGTCCTACTAGCCATCAGAGTAGAGAAAGGAATCCTAAAATATGATGCTTATATATATATATATGTATAATTAATCAAGACAGATATATTCATATATGTCTCATTTAATGCTACTACGTGTCCATGTGCGTATTGAAAGCAGTTCTGATCCAGACCAGACTGACATAGATGCAAAAAAACACATCCTTGATGCTTCAACGTCCACGCCTCCTCGCTCGAGGACTCCTTGAGCAACAAACCCAGGCATTCAGCATCTGGTTTGGGGAGTTCATGGGAGGTGTCCTGAGGATAATATCTGTTTGTCAGCAAAATCTGTTGTGTCTGCTCTCCCAAACAAATCTCTTTAAGATATTATCCACGCTCACCGTTCGCCAAGCGTGACCGACATGCATGGAATTGGTTGAATTCATGATCATCTTGTGAGGTGGCGGTTCTTGCTAAGGTCAGTACACAGACTGG